AGCTGTGTTATGCGTTCTACAAGTATGGGATGAAAGTGCTAGGTGGGATAGTGCATGCTATGCTGCATGAGTATGTCTAATCCATGATTTTGTCTCTGGAACGAAAGAGTGGCCGTGACTGTATGGGCGGCTGTAGGAAGCGTATGATGAACGTGCCTGGAATATAAATGAGACAATTGTCGGCAGGGATGTATACCCCCGCCTGGTACATGAAAGTAAAAGAAATGTGGTAAGTGGCCAACCAAGTGAGTTCCCCAGCAATACCATGATCGTATGGATGATGAGTGGCATTTGTTGATGATATGACATGTGCTTAGTTGTCTGAGTAACAACGGATTGATGACCCTGACCATGATTTACCCCATGCCACAGCAGCTGCTTTTAGCGGGGAAAGGATTGCCCATTTTATGCCATGTAAGTGCCAGTTTGTAGGGTAGATGGTAGCCGTTTACTGTGTTGATGATATTGGTCTTACTTAACGAAGCTTCAACCCATGCTTGAGTGATAGCTGTAAAGGTAGATCAATGGTGTGTATAGTAAGGAAACTCCTCGGAGGGTATGAGGGAGTTGAGACTTGGGGTAGCGAAGGTGTGTGGTGCCAATAAGTCTATGGTTAGTCTTTGTTTAAGGGAAGATTCCCTTGTGACAATACCAATGTGCTTGTGTTTGGTGCCATGCTGTAAATGGTGGAGATTGGAAAACCCAAGTAAAAACCCCTCTGCAAATCTTGGCTATTAGTGTGTTTACAGCCAATGGTTCTGTTGTGCTGACTGTAAGTGAGGGCATGCTATATTCCTTGAGAGTTTATTTATGATACCTGTATGGGAGCCCTTTGAAGCTCCAGAGCCTTAGTAAATCTACTACAAGTCTGGAAGGGTGATGAGTCAGTAGTGTTGAAAATGCATTGGTGTGTACAGATGGTGAGTACGTTATTTGTAAGTTGTATTGGGACACATGGTTTGTCATGTGCCCTGAATGATTTGAACATATATGCAACAGTCTATATGCAATGCAACTACTAATACCAATTGTCTCTGGTAGTTCAGAGGTGCTGGTACCTGGAGCCTGAGAGTGCTCGTCCGTTTGTTTGGGAGAAAATCCCTTCTGTATGGGTACCTGCACAAATAAGCATCTCTACATATTCCAAATGCCAACACAACCAAGGGATGGTCAGTTCCCGATTTACCTAGAATCCCTGGGTCTGACCATCATAGATACATCATCATACATATATATGCCTTGTTTCCCCAATGTGCCGGGATCATATGTGCAGGGTTAACGTCTTGTACCAAGAATTGATTGTACCAGGTAACCGAGTTTCGGTTGGTGCTGGTTGTACAGTAGCGTGAGGCCCAGCCTTGTGAGGGCTGTGACTGACTCGAGATTGCCAGTCTGTCATAAATTTTTTGGCTCATGAGTTTATGAGTGAGGCTAGCATGGCCTGGGTGTCACCTGAGTTGGTGTTGCTGGGCCTTCCCCTGCCTCCGTGTTGTCCGTTGATGTATGGAGGAGTTTGAATAATTCTGCTTTCCTTGCTGTGGCAGGGTAGGGGATTTGTCGCCTCCTTAGGTCGGAGCCACATCTCCTCTGCTTGAAGGTGTATCACTTCTAGCCGGGGTGCCAGGAAGAGGTGATTCTTTACCATCTTTTTGAGAAATACTTAAATAACAATAAAGATTGCAATTATATATTTGTACCCAGGGGTCTTGTACCGGCTTGCTAGCTAAGCCGTAAGGCAAAACGATTAGGCTTGGTGTTTTTTGGTGACTGGTGAGGCCCTGCTAGTTGCCAAGTGGCTTGAGAGGCTCTATCTATGCTTGGCGCGAGGGGATTTTGTGTGGCCACCGAACGTTGTGGCAGGATGTTGGCCTCTCGGTGACAGTAACCAGAAAATAGGAAGGGGAGTGACAGGTGAGGCCCTCTCTATGATACAATGCGAGGCGGCTAGCTCACGAGTGGCCCGAGGGGTATATGCCTCCGAGTGTGAGGCGGGGTGTTGGCCTCGCGGGACCACTAACCGAAGCATAATGCAGAGAAAAAAGGGGGTAATACCTATTGGGCCCTAGAACCCTAATTGCCAGTACACTATTACTATTCCAGGGAAGGTAAGAGATGGATAACTACGTGAGCAGGTGTACGTACCTGGTAGTATGGTATTGAACCTGACAATCCGTATAGGTTTTTTAGTAGTAACTGTAACCTGAATGGATAAAATCGTATGGCATAAGGAAATATGGCATAGACCAAGCTTATCTTAAAACATACAGTATATGTGAAAGTAAAGTGCCGTGATATGTAAATATTAAACATCATATCCATACTGGTTAAATATGTATCAATCTTAACCCATTAAGTGCCGTATGTATGTGAACCATATTACCAGTTACGTATATACAGATGCGTGTGCTACTGTGTAATAATATGTGTATTTATAACAGATATTGATATACAGCTTGCTATGTGAATTGTTGTATGCCTTATTGAATGGTCAGTGAACATGGAGTTGCAAAATGCAAGTGCACTGGAGATCTGCCGAGTGCCCTATAGGTGGCAGTGTAGTTGATACTGATTGGTATGTGAAATGTTGTTTGTCTGTTGACCTATAGGGGTCAGTGTTTTGGTGTTTGTAAAACCCCATGAAAAACCCCATGAAAATTGTCAATGTACTTGACAGACCTGTAGGTGGCAGTGTTGATAGAACCACTGTTAGTCTTAATGTGAAATGTAAATTATTGTGAATTAAACCTGAAGTTGAGCCCGTGTTGGAGTTTAATTTATGGTTATGTTTAAAACAATCTTATGTGTAATTTATATTGGCTGGTAATTGTATATGACATGTGAAGACAGTTTTGCTGTTGACCAGTAGGGGTCAGAAATGCTGATTGAATGGTAAAATACCCTTTAACCCCTGAAGGATACATGACATGTGTGACATATCATGATTCCCTTTTATTCCAGAGTTTGGTCCTTAAGGGGTTAATCCAAATGCAAGGTTAACGTGAGATTTTGAGAGTGACCTGTAGGGGTCAGTGTGGTTTATGTGAAACATTGTTTGTGAGCTATGCCCCAGCATTATAGTTGTGTGACAGGGAAACAAACAGTGCCCGTTTGACAATATACAATAAGTGAACATAATAGCTTAATAACAGTCATTGTAACAAACCAAAGTTCTGCTCATGGGTTGTAAACGCACGAAGCGTGTGTGTAGTACAATAGTAAATGCATGAACTAGTTCCCGTTTGGTAGAAAATTGCACAAACCGTGAGCCTGGTATGTCAGGGAAACAAAACGAAACGAGCAGTGAGATTCGAAATGCACGCACAGAATTGCCTAGTATGTTTAGGCAATTGAAACAGAATGTGTTCCCGTTTGGGAGTATGCTAATGCTCGAAATGAGCCAGTGACAGATATAAACAAGTGAATTTAAACGAATGATATGCATGAACATCCAATGGTTTTAGGACAGATTTAGACAAAATGCAGCCGTAAAGTGAGGACCTGACCCGTGCATGGTGCCGTGGGACTGATGCCTGGCGTAACGGGTAGGTCGACTTACGGTTTATGAGTCACTTGGACACCATCCACAGTGATAGATTGAAGAAAGAATGTGGAAGGCCGGAAAAGCCTGTGGCTGAATTCCTGACACAGCTCAGCTTAGAAAACCTCATGGAGTAATCAGGTAAAATGGCGTCTGGATGACCCGTAAGTGGAAATCATTCTGATGCTGACCTCAAGCGATATGAGTCAGGTAATATAGGGGAGTGAATTAATTTAAGCCCCTCCCACAAATACAGGCCAAACGGCCTTAAAACATATATATATATACATTTATTTATTTTTTCTTTATTTTATTCACGTTTTAAAAACATGGGGTTCCAACTTCACCCAGTTGTCTTACTAGTTTTACCAAGTTACTTTGTTTAGATCTAACAATGCAAACAACTAATGAGGCTTAGGCAAAAGAGGCTGTTAGTTTGTAAAAATTAACATTTTCCATTGAAGGGATATTATAGTCATCAAAACAACTTGAACTTAATAAGGCAGTTTTGGTGTAGTTTCATTGCTTAATTCTCTGCCACTTAGGAGTTAAATCATGTTGTTTATGCAGTGATAGTCACACCTCCCTGCATGGCATGTGACTTGCATAGCCTTCCTAAACACTACCTGTTAAAATAGATCTAAGGTTTATACTTCCTTTTTTGCACAGTCTGTTTAAAATTAAAAATGTCTTATTTCCTGTACTGTTAATTGCTTGCTAGACCTTGCACGAGCCTCCTGTGTTTATAGAGCAGGAGATACAAACTCCTAAAGTAGGTTAATATCTGATTAAAAATTAAACCATTATTTTTATTTTTTTTATAATTCTTTATTTTTGTTGTGCATGTTATACATAGCAGTGACATACACCACAACAGCGTGTCTAAGAATGTACTTAAATGGAACAGTGGCATGAGGAATTGCACATTTTTGTATAATTGTAACAATGATCAGCATGGCTAAACAGTGAAGTCATTAATATAAAATGAAAAGGTAGCTTATTTTAACTATCAGAACAGAAAATAACCTCGCTAGTGTTTCATGTTAGCTAGTTTTGAGTGACATAGAATAACGTATGAATGATTGATTCAGGCTAGTTCTAGCTATTATACAAGGGTGGATAACATATGATTAGTTTACTGTCTGCACTAAAGTGTAGTAGTAACAGGCTGAGTGTATGTGCTTATTGGCTACGTGCCATATATAGGCGATATTATGAAACAAGGGAGGCTATCAAGTGCTTCATTAATTAGCCCTGTAGTGTGAAGGCAGGTCTCCCCTTTAAACAATAGGTGTGTGCTACGCTGAAGGTTAAGCTTATCATACTGTTGCAGTTAATCAAGTTCAGATGGGTGTCAGGTGGCAGGTGTTAAGATGCTGTGTTTTGGAATCAGTCCAGGCGACAAGCAATTAACCACATAAGAGAGTGTTGGTTGGTTTGCCTGCAGGGTGCCCAGAGTAGTTCAGCCGATACCTATCGGGTACTGGGTACAGTCCAGGTATGAGTGGTAGTCCTGCATGGCAAAGCTCCTAGGTACTGGCAGGTAGGTCGGTTCCTTGATCGCTTTTGCAGGAGTCCCTTTCCACTTTTCCGGCTGTAGTTGTGACCTTTGCTGGGTTGCTCGCTGGGGTCTCGTTGTGCATCTCGTCGCTCCGTGGTATCGGCTGGCTGGGTGTCGAACCGCTCTTCGCCTCCCCAGTTGGTCCCACGGTTTACAGCGTTTTACGGTAGTTGGGTTATGAACCTTCTTGCGGGTTTTGCCGTCGGAAGCATGGGGTGTACTTTGCGGGGTAGGCTTCTCGCTCTGTCTTGTGGCCGGCATATGCTTGCGTGCAAGGCCGGTCTCTGCTTGTCTCCTCGGCTTGGCCTGTTTTATTGGCAGGCCTTCGCTTTTGTGTTGGCGCCCAGTTCTTGCTTTCTTTTCTCTGTGAGAATTGCTTTGAAGGCAGGAGCGTGCGGGTGGCAGTGTCGGCTTTTGCTCTTTTGGGACTCGCTTTAGGGCTTGATATGTGTCTAATTTTTCCCAGAAGGCTTCAAAGATGGCATTCAGCCTTGCCTCTGTGTCATCCCTGGGAAATGTGTTGGGTCGTCCATTTGCTGTTGCCGCCATTTTGATATTCGCTAGCTTGGTCTGCCTGTGCCGTCCCTTGTCTCGGATGGGCGCTCCTGGGACCGGGATTAAACCATTATTTTTTAATGCAGTCTGTGTCAATCATAGCCAGAGGAGGTGTGGGTTCTGCTGCATAATCAGAAAAAAGTGATTTAACTCCTAAATGGAAGATAATTAAGCAGTGATACTGCAGGTGCTCCATCTATACACTAAAACTGCTTCATTAAGCTAAAGTTGTTTTGGTGATTATAGTATACATTTAAATTTAAAGGTGTTTTAGGTTAGGGTATGCAAATAGGTAATTATTCTGTTGTTCAAAAAGAAAAACACTAGTCTAAATTGGCTTTTTAATGGCCTAATAAAAAAGTGTTTTGTTTTTTTGGGAAGATGTCCCTGTGACAATACCAATGGGGTTAGTGTGCCATTCTATGAATGGAGGAGTTTTGAAAGGCCCCAATATGAAGCCCTCATCCACTTCTTGGGCTATGAGGGTGTCAACCGCTGTGGGGTTGTGTTGGGCGGATTGTAGATTAGGGCATTCCAGAGTTCGGGTTGGTATGTGTAGGATACCTGTATGGAAGCCTTCTGTTAAACCAGAGATAAGAAAGTCTACTAGGTGTCTAGATGGGTGCTGAGACATAAATGCTGTGAATACTGGCATATTAATGGACGTTAGGTAAGGCTTGGAATACATTTTATTTGGACACATGGTCTTTGCATGTGCCCTAAAACATTTTGAACAGACATGCAATAGTCTACATCCACTGTAATTACAAGACCCAACATTGAAATTATTACATATCTGGGACTTGCCCAGAAACTTGATTGGGCATCCCAGTTTGTCTCTTGACAACTTCCCTGGAACCCCAGAGGAACTATCTCCTTGCGTGGAGGCATGTTCATCCGCCGTGTTGGGACAAAAATTTGTAGTATGGGCTGTGGAGGAGCAGTGTGCACAAGCCGGTGTTCTTAGACCTGCAAAGTGTCTGCAAAAAAATGACGGTATCAATCTTTTCCCAGTTGGATCGTGTTCCGTACTGGGAGAATGCTCCAGACACTTTTGCAGAAAAAGACTTATGGTAGTCATAGAAAGCTGAACCACCATATTTGTTGTCCAGGTCTACCAGCTTGTGCATATAGAGATCAAACTCCTCTCTTCTGTTGCGATAGACCGCACAGATGATATCCCTGTAAATACCAAAAGCTAGTACAAATTCAGGGATAGTCAGTTTCCTGTTCAGGTGGGCATCCCTACATCTGACAACAACAGATACATCATCATAAGCATACGTCTTTTTCTCAACAATATCCTGGGAGGCAATCAACAGGGAAGCCAGGTTGACGTCTTTACCTTCCAGGATATCCCTTTTTATGTGCTCAGGTATCATATGAGCAGGGCTAACTTCCTGGTCATCCAGGGTGATGGCTGGAGCAACTAATGGCAAGTCGGCTGGTGCTTGTGAAGTGGCCCTGCTAGAGTGACCGACTCAAGTTTCTCCAGCCTGGAGTTGACCTTGCTCATGGATGCCATGAGTGAGGATAACATGGCATGTATGTCTCCTGGGTTGGACTGGCTAGGTCCTTCCCCGGCATCCATGTTATTTGTAGATGTGCGTATCAGTTTGAAAATTTCTGCTTTCCTTGCTGTAGCGGGGTAGGGGATTTGTCATCTCCTCAATTCCGTGGTTAGACGCGGGATCGTCCAGGATCTGATCGATGCTGGACTAGCTAGCTCTCCTCCTTGTGTGGGAGTGACAGCTCTAGCCGGGGTGCTAGGCAGGGAGAAATCCTCTACCCCTTCCTGAGACATACTATAAATAAAACAATTAATTAGTATATGAAACCACCAAATTGTACTGGCAGGCTAGCTAGGCCGGATGGCGAAACATTATACTTGTTTGGTGACAGATGAGGCCCTGCTAATTGCCAAGCGGCTTGAGAGGCTCTATCTATGCGTTGGCGCGAGGGGTTATTGAGGCCACTCGTCGTAGTGGCAGGAGTTTTAGGCCTCTCGGTGACTGTAAGACAGAAAACAGGGGAAGGGAGTGACAGGTGAGGCCCTCTCTATGCAACATGCGAGGCGGCTAGCTAGCGTGTGGCCCGATGGGTGTTTGCCTCTGAAACATTTGAGGCGGGGTGTTAGCCTCGCGGGACCACTAACTGATGGCGACTGCCAAGACGGGGTAAATACCTATTGGGAAGCCTGTGACCCTATTGCCAGTACTCTAACCTAGGGGGATGAAATGAAATGTATGGTAGAATATCATATGAGCAGGTGTACGTACCTGCTCGTATGACAAATTCACAGGAAAAACCATGTGGAGCAAATATATATAAGCTTGACAGCCTGAAATAGGTAAAAGAGAGTAGTATGATGAGTGTGGATTGTTGGAAAGAAAACAGACTTATAGCCTGTAACAACAATGTTTTTATGGTTTGCTGGCGTATGATTGAAAATAAAATGTTGATGCCATGGGAATAGATATGAGTTACTCAGAAATGTTGTCATGCTTAAATAAGACATGTGAGGAAGGCTGTGGCCTATGTACAAACAACATATGTGTTATATAATAATGGTGTGTAAGGGAAACATAAAATGTAGGTTATATATACTGTGCAGGAAACGTATGATTGGTTGGATCAGTTCATGTGATTCAACCCGAGTATGCATGAAAAGGAATTAAAGCCTTATGTGTCATGGTCATAACAAAGAAATGAGGCCTGTAACATAGGCTGAGTTAATTGAAATGAAATGGATAATTTATGAAAACTCCTGTAAGCGTGGGAGTCCAATGATCCATACAGAAATGTTAGCTGGTTTAATAGAAAAGAACATGGACGAGGGAGGCCATGGCCCCTATCACACAGCGTTAAGTATGATATGTAATAGAATAACAAAAAGGGCAGGGATACACAAAATGCTTAAAGTGATGCACAGTGATGTATATTTATGATATATCTGTATTGAAAAAGACGTATGATTGGTTGGATCAGTACTTGAATCAACCCGAGAATTTATTGCTTGTAAAAGGAAACTGTATCCTTTTGTATGTGTCGTAGTTATGACACAGAAATGAGGCCTGTTATGTAGGCTGAGTCCATTTGGATGAATGGATAAGTATGGCAGACCCCTGAAAGCGTGGGAGTCAAAATGATCTATACAGATAAGTTATGGACATAATACAATACTGATACCTTTAAACAGTAATAGAAATAATCTGTCTATTTAAACAAGCAATTCGTTAACTGAATGTTATATACATGAAATGGTGAATATAATCCACAAAAGGATTATGCGTAATACATAGAAATAAAACCGAAACCCAATGTGAGGGAAAACAGAAGTTGGAACGAATAGTTTAAACGTATGAATTTTATGTGAACCGCAAGCGTGTTTGAGCGTATCATGAAAAAATGCTGAACGGCAAAACAACCGAAATGATAATCCGTTTCAATGTAACATGGAATAGTTATATGCGAAATGACTATTTATACGAATATACTGTTTAGCCGAATGACCGTACGAATGAAAACCGCGAATGGCTTGTACAATTTGTGACATAACAGGGAAAAAAACATAAAGCGAGGACCCGTGCTGTACCGTATGCCGTGGGAACCGATCCTGGCATGACAGGTAGGTCTAACTTACGGTTTAGGAGTCCCTGGGACGCGATCTACAACGATGACCGGGGTCAGAAGCTGGACGGACAGAAAAGGCCTGAACAGGATTCCTGGACACACCTTGCCGCGGAAAAACCTCATGGATACTGAAAACCAAGATGGCGTCTGAGAGAACCCGGAAGTGGATCCTCATTCAACGCTGACCTCGAACGGTAAGAAGCAAGGTAAGGGGAGTGCCTTAAGTAGGCTAGGGGTAGCGAACCAGCACCTCCCACAAATGCAGGTAAAATTGCCTTAATACATATCTGAATTTAAACTTCTTTAGAAAAAAATACAGTCCCTCCCCAACTTGGGGTATTTGCACCTGGATCTGCTGCTCCCAAAAAAGTGCCACCTGGGTTCCTTGGACACACCCAACCATTATGGGTTGGCCAGTGGTAATTTTCTGCAATGCATTGCATTATTTTTTTATTATAACAATTGTAATTCTAGGAATTAAAAAAAATATATGACATTAGATGGTATGCATTTTAAAATATTGAATTCAAATTTAATCTTCTAAATTTATTTTTTTGCATGACCGCTTTCTTTTTAAGCCCAAAAAGAAAGGTAAATTGAAATACTTTCTACAAAGTCTCCGATAACGGTATTTTCAAAATATGTACGTTTTTGAAATATTTCTATTAAGTCTGGTCAACCCAGATGATGTTTTACTATTAAATAGTTAGCCTTTAAGCCTTTAACTTTTGGAAATGTGTATTTTAAGAATAGAATATTATATGTAACAATTGTTATAACCCAATGGATTAGAATGACATGAGGAGTGGAGAAGATAAATCTATTTCTAGAATTTGTGGGTGGTAAGAACTTTGTTAACTGAAAATAATTTTTTTAAATATAAGAAGGGATTATTTCACATGTATTTAAGAACATTTAATTGGAGCTCAAATACCTGGCAGTATTTCAATATGTCTATCAATTTATTCAAAGCACATTTTAGCTAACTGATTGATGCATTTATGTGTGGTTTGCCTTATATAAATGTCAATTTAAATGTCCTTCAGAGAATAAGCTACACATTTAAATTTATACTTAGGAGAATTTGAATAACAAACATTTTGTTCAAAAATGATTTTATTTTTAAGTATCAGAATTACATTTAATGACGTTTTTTTAACATTTCAGTAATCCACACCTGATTATTTGTATACTGTTTAACACAATAAACAATAAAACATAATTATTAATATTCATTACTCGTTACATAACTGATATTAGTACATTCCTAGGAGAAATAGCTCACTGATTAGTTCTCCAGTTATAGAATTCTAGATTCACAGGTTTGATTCTTAGTAAAGCAAACTCAAGCTTAAATCTTCTGAGGATGATAAAATTAGTACAATTAAGTTGGGTTGTTATAAAATGTAGACCGTAGGGCCTTCTTAGAAACTAGAAAATAGTTTAATGTATATTTCCTCATTAAATATACTTATACAAACCGATCAGCCAAAGATTAAAACCAGTGATAGGTGAAGCCATGGCCAGACTGGGAAAAATATTTGTCCCAGGCATTTTTAAGTTTCGGTGATGGGGATGTTTAAGTTACAGTGACGGGGATGTTTTGTCTCAAAGTGAGCATGCTGGTTCAAAGCAGGAAAGCCCAAGTGCAGAGGCCTGCTGAAGAGCTCTCCCATGAGAAAAAGGCCCTGTATTTGTTCTGCGTAGTGCAAGCACATTTATTACAATTCTTGCGCTGTGTTTGCTTTTGACTTATCTCTAGGGTCTCCAGAAGTGGAATACCAGAGGACAAAAGGTCGAGAAAAGCATATTGTGTGTTTAGAGGCTGCTTGTGGGATTGTGTGCATAGAGTCTACGTGTCTTGAGATACAATTACATGCTTTTGGCTTCATTCCCCTCCCTTCTGTCTTGTGTGTTTATTTTACTTCATTACAGTTCTTTCTTCCATTTTTCTGAGGTGGCTGTCTCCTCCATCAGGTTTGTGCCAAATGGTATACCTTTGTGAGTTCCTTTGCTATGTTATGGTTAGGTTTTATGTTGCACTGACATGCCTACTTGGTTTTGCGGGATACTTTCCCTGTCTGCCTGATGTGATGACACAAGTTGACTCCATGGTTCATAACCAGGGTTACACCCTGTCTTTGATGTTTTTCAGCTTGATGTTGCATGGGCTGCTGGTACCTGCTTGCCCCACCACGTTCTTCTGTATGCATTGGACTGCTTCTTGTCTTACTGTTTGAGATACCTGTTTGCCGCAGTTCTGTTTCCTGGTTACTACTGGTCGGTTGCTGATCGGTTACTGTTGGTTCACCAAAGGAAGAGAAAGTTAAGGGGTATGATCCTGGATTATAGGGATGGCTGCTTTTGAGTGGGTGGAGTTTGGGAGGTCTCATATTAGCATCCTTTTTTATTGGTTGTTCTTTGCTGCTGTATATTAAGTAAAGAAAGAGATATGCACAATACTTGCCTCCGTGTCTTTTCGTCATGAAATAGCAAAATCATGTAATTGTTGTCAGTTATTTGTCTATACATTAGTTGGTGAGAGCGAGGCATTTTTCTTAAATTAAAGCTTATTATAATTAGCAAGATATCATAAAAATATCCCTAACAACAAAGGGAAAGTCCACAAAGAGGAAACAAACCAGTTATCGGAAGAGAGAGGACAATGGAATAGGTGTAACAATAACCATTACTCTATTGAAGAGAGCTCTGAATATTTAGTGATCTAGGGGTTCTATAAAGTGTTAAAGTGAACTGAAATGTCATAGAGTTGGACCGTCAGGATTGCCATTGAGTAGATATACATCCATATGCGTGGGAAGCGGAGCCTTGCGTGTTTTGCTATGGAAGGTCTACGAACTCCAAACATGCATGTGTGTAGCCTTCAGGGCAGTCAGGTCAAAATTTTGAGAATACCTAATAAATAGAGCTAACTGCAGGCCAGGTGCTACTGTTAATTCATGAGACAAGCTAATTAAAGTGAGAACCTACTGCTTCAGGATCTGCACTAGAAGGAATTGCTGGTGCACATGGATGAAGTTTCCATCAATTGGAGAGCATTTTTTTTTTCTTTTTGAAACATTAATTTTTTTTCATGTTTAGGATTAGGCTATTAAACAAACTGAACTCAGCTGACACCGAATTAATTCATTTGTGTTGCTAATTTGAAGACATTTTCTGCATCACACTGAATTGACTTTTGTTGCTTTTGTGTCTACTACATGACCTTTGAAAAAGCATATTAATAATTTTAAGTAATGTAAAAGAACCTCTTTATTTCAGACTGCAAAAACAATCATCTTTTTATTTTTTGAGGAGTAACATAATACCAATATTTAATCTGGGCTCAAAGTTCCATTTCTTGAACTACAAGATAAACCTAGTTAGTTGCCACCACAGGCCTGGAGGGTCCAATTGAATACTAACCAGAGATACATTTCTACTTGCCAAGCTGAATTATGAATGTCTTCAGGGCATTTGCTTAAAGACACTCTGCTGCCAAATAAAAAAAAACAATAAAACCAATCACAGCATTTCTTCACCTGGGGTAGATCCTATATCTGGCACCTCTACCCCCAACACTCCCTCTCTCCCTAACTTTAAAATTTTAAAAAACACCCGCTAATTTTTTAATGTATTATAGTGTGGTGTCTCAAAGGCCCTCTAGTGGAGTAATGGGGAGGAGAGGCTACTCCTCTACTTAATGATGCCCCTCTTTCTACTACGGATAGATGTATTTTTTTTTTCCATGAGTTGGTTTGCTTGATGTGATACCCATCAGATGGTTTTGTAGTGACTCATGGATTTCTTTTCCCAGCACGTTTACCCGCAGGTTAAGCGTGCTTACCAGCAGGTTAGGTGGGACTGTTATCTGAGCAATGAGGGATATTACTCGAGATAAAGTATGGCAGGGAGATTGTGTCATACACAAGCTGTGCCTTAGGTTGATTCCTTGGTTTAGGATCAGCCTGTCAATGTGTAAAATTCTAATCATTTTCTTTGCATATATCCTAAGTTATCATGGACCAGATGTTTAAACTAGAGAAAGAGAGCCATTTGAGCTAGCAGATACTGTTAAATTAGTTTAGCATCACTTAACGCCCGTGGGATTACCTCACCATTTAAAAGATCCCTAGTTTTGGAAATCAAATATGTTTGTGCATTACAAGAAACACACTGGATAAAAACTGATAAAATTTATGTAAGATCTGCTAAATACCCACTTATTATAGGTGCAGCTTATAAAAATATATCCATAAATATTAAATATCGATATATCGACATAGAGGGAAGATATATTATTTTGGTGTGTGATATGAACAACAAACTTTTTACACTAGTCAATATATATGCACCAAATAAGTCTACTATAAAACTTATAAACAGGATTATAAGGAAAATAGATCAAATCAAACAAGGGGTGCTATTAATGATGGGAGATTTCAACTGCGTAATAGACCCTCTTAAAGATAGGAAGAACTACAATGGTAAAAGATTAATAAAGGATCTTCAGATAGACTACTAAAATTAATAGATCAATATAATGTGAGGGACATATGGAGAACGTTTCCTCCCTTGAAGTTATACTTCACATGCTACTCAAAAACATTTAATTCCTACTCATGAAACAACCTTATTTTGGGGGATGTGGCCATGCTGTATCTTGTTAAAAAGATTGAAATATGGGATATAACATGGTCAGACCATAACCCAATTAAACACGTAATCAGAGGCCACTTGATGGGGATGGCAGCCAGACTGAAAAAGAAAGAAGGTCCCCCACTCGCAGATTTATATATCAGGCTAAATGAATATAAGAAACAGAACAAATTAATACCTTTCATAGAAATGGAAAAAAAAAAACATCAGAAACAGAACAGAACATAAATGTACAGTTAGCCAATAAAATGGCAATAACTTTAGAATGTTTTCAATCTAAATGGTATCATAATGTAATAAACCTGAAGCGGTTATGATGAGAAAATTGAAAAAGGAAAAAAATAAAAGAGAGAATTAGGGATAAAGACACATATATAATGGCCCCAGAACAAATAGGTGGAGCATTTGAAAGATTTTATAGAGATCCATATAACCTACCACAGGATTTATTTGATAATGATAAAGAAATCCAAAAATCCTTTGAAAAAATTGAAACACCCAAAATGCTATCCGACCAAATATAAGTAATAAATCAACCTATTTCAGAAATAGAAGTTATCAAAACAATAAAAAAATTAAAGAATAAACTGCCCTTGGTCCAGATGTATTTACAAATACATTTTATAAAATTATAAAAGATCAAATAAAAGAAGAACTGGTAAATGTTTTTAATCACATGATGAATACAGAAAGATGCCCTGGGGAGTTATTGAGAGCAAATATCATCCCAATCCCAAAACCAGATAAAGATCCAGAACTGATAAGTAATTTTAGATCGATATCATTGATCAACACAGATGTTAAAATTTAAATTAGGGGGGTGCCTGAGCACCGTCCTGCCTATGGCAGCACAAATCCTAAATACACCACTGAGGGTTGGATGGGCCTTCATGTCAGCCACATTAAAACAATTTGGATTTACAGGTTCATTTTTAAAAACGGTATCTGCTCTCTATGACTCTCCACAGGCAAAAGTCATGGGATCTGGATTTACTTCTCAAATTTTTAATATTAGTAACGGGACAAGGCAGGGATGCCCTTTATCCCCATTTATATAGATATTAGCATTGGAACCTTTAGCCATTTCTATAAGACAAAATAAAAAAATCATAGGATACAGATATCCGCTAGGGCAGATTAAACTAAATATTTATGCGGATGATATAATATTGATACTAGAGGAACCAACAAACTACTATTCCAGAAGTTTTAAAAGATAAAAAGTTACTGTAGAGTAGCCGGTTACAAAATAAATCTAGATAAATCAGAAGTCATTGTCAAGAACATGAACAAGAGATCAGTTCAGAATCTAATAAAAAATATGGACTTCCAAATGATAAAAAACACTTGAAATATTTGGAAATAACTATTGTATCAGAGACAAAAGAGTTAATAGAAGCTAATTTTTTACCCTTACTAAAACAAACCAATAAAAATCTACGAGAATGGAGGGGTTTGGGATTTTCGTGGTCGGGTAGAATCAATATATTAACGGCCTATATTTTACCAAAATGGCTCTATTTATGGAGAATGATCCCACTTAATTGCCCAGAAAACTGTTTATCAATGCTACACACCTCTTTTCTAAAAATTGTCTGGGGCGGAAAGAAACCCAGAGTTAAAATGAAAAACTGAAAAGCCAGATTAAGACAAGATGGAGGTTTGAGTTGCCCAGAAATTCACCAATGTTATCAAGCCAGTAGATTGTTTCAAATAATGGTATCACAAAATAGATCCACAGAAAAGGAAAAATGGCATTCAATAGAGAAATATGGTACTGGGGTGGAGAACTTATCCTCTCTATTCTGGATATTAGATCTCAAGTAATTAGAGATTTAACAGCATGGTGGGATATTTTTCGAAAAAACCATGGATTAAAAAACAAAATAATAAGTTCATTACAAATTAAAGTGATTAATGATATGCTGGATAATATTATTATTAAATCTTGCAGGAGCAAGGGAATAGAAAAAGTTAAATACAAAATAGAGAATTATAAAATTAGGCCCTTCCAGAAAATAAGAGAAGAATTTGGCATCTTAATGAAGGATAACTTTAATTATCTAAGAATTAAAGGGTTTCTCTTAGTACACATGATTAAGAATAGAGAGAGTAAAACAGAAGGGATTTGACAACTGGTCGAACAAAAAAACTGTAAAAATATGCTGTGTAAATGCGTTAAAGTTTTATATAAGATAAGACATGATAAACTTTCCGGAGCAATTGATAAGTGAGAAAAAGATCTTCACATACAAATAGAGGAGGAAACTTGGAAAAGTTATTTTAATAAATGATATAAACATGTTCATTGCTTAAATCTGAGTTTAAACTTTCAAATAACTTAACACCAAATCTTCATGGTGTATTAACTAACTGTATACCACAGTATTTGAGGGTTTTAGGATCACTATCATGGAACTCCATAAGGTGTTTTGATAGAGTGTGGTTCACAAATATCTGTTAAATGGTGAACTAATAACTTTACACTTATGCATGTAAAAACACAAATATTGTGTTAAAATGTTAGTCATTTTTCATGTCCATAATAGGCTTGTAGCCAGGACTATAATTATAAATTCACAAAGCCCTTTTGTTGGCTAAATGCGTTGTATGTATTTTACTGTTTCTTTAAGCTGTTTGATTTTATGTTAAGTAAATGCATCCATTTTTTTAAAAAAAAATGTCCCTGTCCTTACTTCTGAATTTTTATTGTGTTACATCTGGACTTCCTTCA